TTATTATTATTATTATTATTATTATTATTATTATTATTATTATTATTATTATTTAACGCCAAGGCTTAATCGAGACTTAAAGTACCTATAAGGCCTAATAATTATGAATTACTTCATGTTTACCCGAGGTTCCCCAATAACAGAAAATGAGAAATTATCTTCTGTTTATCGTCTGATGTTTATTTTTATTCTTAATATTGTCAACTAGTTCATTTTAATTCGAGACTGTAAGTAATAGAAATGTTATATTTTATTGATTGAATTAGCACGATAATTATTGCACAAGTCATGTAAACATTAATCTTCCATTAAATAAACATCGTGGTATTTCACCATTTAACCGAGCTACACGCGTCTCCTCGAATGGCTCTACGTCACTTATCGAATTGGACCGTAAACCTACAATCACAATCTGCAATCCGCACATAGAACACTCTCAATCCGCAGTTCTGTCGTCAGTGTGCCTAACCTAACTTGTAGAGGGATACAATGAAACAAATTGTTTTATTTCATTTCATAATAGATGTGTGATGTCTGTGATATAAGTGCGGCTGAAACTAATAAAAACCTTAGTTTTATATTTAAAAAAGTAACACGTTTTATATTAATGATCTGTGATTTTGTACACTAGTGAGGAAATAAAACATTCCGTATCTTGAGTGCATCAAGATAAAATCCAAAGAATATTTAAGTATTGACTGCTTTATGAAGACTTTTGACTAAAATGGATTCAAGCAAAAAATATGAAAATCCATCTGCTGAAGCTTCCGCCAATATATTTTCTAAACTATTCTACTGGTAAGTGTAATGATATTATTTTTGTGGAAAAAAGGAGTGATCTAAAAGTGTTTTCAAATTCAAATATTTGGCATGAAAAGTAAACTAATTCAATTAATATATATAAAACCTTTCAAATTAAGTTGTATTAATTAAATTTCAAAACTAATTTTAGTAAAATATTATGTAAGACGGGCTGAATTTAAAAATAATTGCACTTGTATGAGCATTAGAACTGTAACGACGTAACATTTTAGTAAGTAGGTACCCTCTAATAGATATCCCTCGAGATATCCCAATCATTCTTACAGTAAAATGGGAGGTGGTATTAAACAAAATAAGAATATTGATGTATTAAACATTATTTTAAAAAGTCAGTAAGTAGGTACCTAAGTATTACCCTAATTTAGACTGAATAAATTTGTAGCATAAATAAAATCGAGAATAAACTTGCATATATAAAATACATTGGCGTCCACAGGGGACAGGAAAGCCATAGCCCCTCCTGTGATTTTTCTCTTTGCCTTTGTTGCAGATATCTAATTTATTTTATTAATGTATTGTCATTAACGCCAATAATCGATTAGAATTCAAAATGATATCAAAAGTGGTGGAATTATCATTTACGAGACTATATACAAATACACGTTTCTGTTTTGACCTTTTTTGTGGGAGCCCGTAATACTTACTTAACGTTATAAATTAAAAAAAATTTGGCCAACTTTTTTTTAATATTTTTACGTTTGCACTAACAATCGCCAAAAATGGAATTGAAAATAGTGAATTCCTCAAAATTGTTATAATTTATTGTCGATTTTAATGAATTACGTTTATACTTCCTTAGACAGTTCACGTGGATTAGTCAATTTAATTTCTAGGGCGTTGAAAGTAATATTCTGTATTCCTCGAACGAGTCGAAAATTATGTACTAAAGCAGGTTTTGGCCCAAAATAAGACAGGAAAATACAAAATTAACTCTATTCAAGAGAAAGGTTTATTTACAATGTTCTTGGAATTAGGTACCTACTAATATAAATTTTTCTAAAAAATTAATATCCTTTATATAAAATTAACAAAGTAGTAACATTATTAATGTAAGAGTTTGACGATAAGATTTTTATAATGACATTAGGTATATCATAAATTTACAAATAAAACAATTTTTCCTCTTTAGAATACAATCCTGGAACAGAATATTTTTTGTCAGCCTGTGTTATTATTAAACGAAACTCGAAACTAACGGGCGTTTCATGTGAAGTGTATAGTCGTCCGTAGGAGTCTCGGTAGGAGTATACGCTAAACAAATCTTAGGTACTCAGTTATCCGTCCTGATGACCCGTATTGATCATACGCTTTATATGAAACGATTATTATTAGCGTATAGGTAGGTAGTCATCGTACAAAATCTTGGACTGACCACTGACCATACGCGCTCCAATGAAATGTTCGTATAAATAAATGGTACTCGATTATCCGTCTTGACGATCCGTACTGACCAAACGCTTCATGTGAAACGGCTGTAAACTGTAAACTTGTAGTACGCCTTTTCGTAGTATACAGATCTTTTACTACGGACTACTACTAGGCACCGAGCTAGGGACCTACAGTTTTACATCCTTTTTAAGATGTTACGTTTAAAATTCCATCCATCGTATTTCAATTTATTTAAACGCATTTATTAATTAGCGTTTGTCTGTCATAGGTGAGATGTTACCATTCCACATATAAGAATGATTACTACTCAATGCCTGGTCCCTGGTCTAAACGGCCAAACCTGATAATTTACAAGTATGTACGAAATCATTTTTTAAACTGATGCGGGAAGCAACTACTCTTCCTCCGACCAGCAATAAATTATACTCGCATTATCTACTAAACATCTAAGATCAGGCTTCGGCAAAATGCTAGAGATATATCGGTTTCGACCTTATTATTTCTCAACAGCATGCCATAGGGACATTAGTCCGCAGAGTAGTGCTTTCCTCAATATTATCAAATAATTGTGTCATTTAGTAGCTATTTGCTTTCATGCTACCCGCTAAATAGCAGGTCGCAATCTGCCAGTTTGGCCATTTGAAAACCTAGGCATTAAACAGCAGTTGTCCCGCCTATGGCATAGTGATGAGATGAGAATAGATTCAAAACCAGTATATGCATATGAGTGCTATATTCGGATGACGAATGGATCCTACCTGTTGACTGGATATTGCGGGTATAATTCAATGCTGATCACGATGTTAGTCTACAAAGTAATTGTTTTCCAAAATATTATCGGTTTAAATGACGCATCTGCCGTGTCAGGATTCTGTTTGGAACTGTCTTTTGAAGTATTAATCGTTCATTACATAATAAAGACGTCATGATGACACAGCAATCGTGAATAATACCAATGATCTTCGATTAATGCTATCTTTTGAAGACCTTGAAATTTTATCATCAGTATTATGAAGTATGTACTTCCTAGGCAAATAAATTTATTAGGCAATATTATGAAATAAATCATAATATCAGCTATATATCAATAGATATAATATTAACAAAACGTACAATTTAGGAATTAATCAGTAAATATTGAGTAATATATTGGATTGTAACATATTGGATAATAGAATATTAGATTGTAATAAAGACGCGGATAAATTCGATATTTTTGAAAAATGCGTCCGGACTCTTGGTGCCATTGAATAGCTTGTGTGTCTAAAATAGTTCAAACTCTTATACAGGGTGATTCAGTCATAATATCATTAATTTTAAGAGCAGATAGAGAAAAATGAGTATAATACGATGGCGTGATTAAAAAAAAATTTAAATGCATATTTAAGCTGAAAAAAAATATTTTCAAATCATTATTTAACCCCCTTTTCAGGCTGTTACTGACCGGCTGACGTCAGCCGGTTATTCACAATATTGTGCACGGCTACGATATGAACAACGCGCCCTAGATGTAACGTTGCCATATTTATATATTTTCGCTCATACATATAAAGACAATAAATAAACGTCAGCCAATAATAATTTAAAATGCTATAAATTATTTTTTATTTATGCAATCAACATATTAAATTGTTATTGTTGCCCAGCAAGAACCTCGCGGAGGTCTGAGCATGCCTTGCCAAAAATCAGTTTTTATTATCATCATAATGTTAATATTTTAACAACATTTGCTGTAAGCCGGAAGGGGAAGGTTTTCAAACAATTCTACTAAAAATTGAAAGTAACGCCGCCCATTCAGATGTTCAGGTAGAAAATGCGGCCCAATTAAACGATCGCCATTGACATTGACATCGAATCTACTCTGAAAGCTAAACCGACGAGTAGTGTGCGGGTTTTCATCTGACCAAATGTGACTATTATGGCTGCAAAGAAATTAGTTCTGTTTCACTTTAAATAAAATTTAATATTGAAGTTACAAAACCCCAAAAGTTCAAATAATTTAAATTTCATTTCATAACCATTTCAATTTCCTTACAGAAATAATGTCATAAAAAACCAACACTCACTAGATAAATTATAAAGAGAGGATAAATTGTATGCAGTATTTAAATATTGACTGCAATTAGAAGAGAGACTTGTATATTCCATAAAAAAAACAATGGGACGGAGACAAATAAACAACTCGGTACGTGTTTCCGACCTAGGCTAACGTGTGGTTCAGTAACCTTTTAACGCACTTTTAATTTGCACGTGCACCATATAGTCCAGGCACCAGATAGGGTTCCGTAGACAGAGTGCCACGGCTGCAAACAACTTATTCTTAAATATTTGACCTCTTGAATCCAAAGAAACTTGGTCGCAAAGCCTGAAAGTGGTCAGTTTAATTGTTATCAACAAATTAAATGTTTAAATGGCTGAAAAGAGTTTATTTTAATAGCTAGTTCAATTTATTCGCTGTTACGTTTTCTCATAACAAACATGTATTTTTTGAAAATTAAAAAAAAATTAACTTTAACCAAAGTTATTGCAAATTTAGTGCAAATTTCTTACATTTTCCGTCTCCGTGCGCACTAATTTTACCATATCTGGCTCTACTGAACGGATTGAGAAGCACGACATCTCATTTAAAAGCTTGAACTTTATTTTACAAGATAGGTAAGTTCCATTTATTAATTTATTTATTTAATAATTAATGGCAGCTTAGAAAGTTGTGAAATATCAACGAAAATGCCGGTTTTAATTGTTTATAAGGTTTTTTTTATTATTCAACTTCGACGAAAAGCCAAAAAAGTTACCGGATATTGTTCTTTGCATTCTAACAATCAAGCAAGGCATGAAATAATTGTTAGAATGCGAGGAACAATAACCGGTAACTTTTTTGGCTCTTCATCGAAATTGAATAACAAAAAAAGTTTTATAAACCAAGAAAGTCAGCATTTTCGTTGAAATTCCACAACTTTCTAAGCTGCCATTAATTTTTAAATAAATAAATTAATAAATGGAACTTACCTATCTTGTAAAATAAAGTTTAAGTTTTAAAATGAGATGTGCGTCTCACTCCGTCCAATTGAACCAGAGATATGGTAAAATTGGTGCGCGCAGAGACGGAAAATGTAAGATATTTGCACTAAAGTTATTCTTTTTTTAATTTTCAAAAAAATATATGTTTGTTATGAGAAAACGTAACTATTAACGGATAAAAAATTGTACTAGCTATAAAAATAAACTTTTTACAGCCATTTAAACATTCAATTTGTTAACAACAATTAAACTGACCACTTTCAGGCTTTGCCACCAAGTTTTTTTATGAAAGGAAAATTGTGTCAACAAATTGAATTTAAAATCTAAAATACCGGCTGTGTTCTCGTAGTAGCTGTAGTCGCCCAGGTGCATCGAGTGTCTATCGACCACAATGCGGCGGATTTTAACAAAAGATCTGCGTCTGTATCCATTCAAGATTCAGCTAACCCATGAATTGAAACCAGACGACCATTTAATGGACATTCGTTGAATGGGTGTTGGAGAATCAACAAGTGGTCGGTGATTTTGCTAAGAAAATCATCTTTAGCTACGAGGCGGATTTCCAT